GAGCAGGATATGGACTTCTCATGGATCTCCCGGTCCTCCAGTGTCAAAAATTGGCACTCCGACCACGGAGCTGAAGCCTTTGGTCCGCCCGTCACTGCCCAAGCTGACGATTGAGAATGGCCATCGGCACCGATACACCGCCACCGCACTCCCTCCCTGGGAAGGGGCTGGTATGGGGTCTACCCCTTTACGGGTAATATGCCATGGTTCCCACCCCCACTAGGGACATCAGTCTACCCTCCCGGTATTGAGATCCTCCTTCGACACCGGAGTTTGCGAGGCCCCAACCATCGAGGGCGACAGGCAAACCTCCCAAGCCGTCGCACCCGGCTATTTCTAATTTTAAGATCCATCAATTCTGACTCCATCGGTACCGATGCTGCCTATGTCTTTTCTGAGTCGTCTGACCTCTCTGCTTCTCCACACGCTTCCTTCCAATCAAGGGACGAAACCCCCAATCCTCCATTGGAACCCGCGCCACCTTAACAAGTGGGCGGTAATCTCCCAATCTCCCTTCGGAAAACCTTAAATCCTTGGAGGTTTTTTACCGAACAGATGGCTAACGTGCTTGCTCTGTCTGCAGGGCAATCTATGCCCACTGTGACAGATTCCGTGTTCATAAGAACGTAAGAGATGCCAATGTTGGATCAGGCCAAAGGCCCATCCAGTCCAACACTCTGTGTCACACAGTGGCCAAGAATACCAGGTGCCCTCAGGAGGTCCAGCAGTGGGGCCAGGACACTAGGAGCCCTCCCACTGTTGACCCCCCCCAAAGCACCAAGAAGACAGAGCATCACTTGCCCCAGAGCCCCTATCCATACCTTGTGGCTAATAGCCACTGATGGACCTCTGCTCTGTATGCTTATCTAATTCCCTTTTGAAGCCGTCCATGCTTGTAGCCGCCGCCACCTCCTGTGGCAGTGAATTCCATGTGTTAATCACTCTTTGGGTGAAGAAGTACTTCCTTTTCGATACTGTCCAGATGGTCACCTCTACCCGGCATTTACCCTCATCTCGAGCTGGAGGGTAGATCCTGCAATGTAAGGTGCAGGAGCAGGGTGCTAAACGTCTGTTCACCCACCTTAACCCTATTCCGTCATAGCACCTCTTCCTTCAAGGGTAGACGCAGTCGTTTGTTTGCGAGAGTTTTTGACATCGA